GGGTGTGCGTGTGTGTGGGATGCAGGTAGGGGTCCCCCAGGCTGCAGATGCTGTACCTTCCTTTTCACAGCTGCATTAAGCCTCCCAGTTAGTGTTTCCTGCTGAGCACTGAATTTGAACCTCCCTCTGCAGGTAGGTACAGCAGCATTCATGCTATTTTTGTCTTTATTTCTAAGCCTAAAACAATTGAACCTGCATTCCCTGAGATAGCCTCCTTTGTCCAGAACTCCTTTGTTCACAGACAGTTAGGGGATTTTCTAACAAAATTATTTTTGTGGCTTAGTGTTCAGCCAGAATCACAATGTCTGGGGATGGAATTGTCTGGCATTTCCTTCTGTACTGCACTGATTGTTAAAAGGTTGCTCTGCTGTGCCTGGGCCTGTGCACAAGGATTTGCTACTGTGCAATAATCGCTCCTTTCCCCACCTGCTGAAGGAACCAGATCTTGTAAACCCCAATCTCTGCCCACAGACTCTGAAGCAATGCAGGCTCCTCATTAATCACTTGCCATGTAATGGCAATAGGTGTCAGCAGCTCCTGCTGCCAGAGCATTGTCTGAGTTGCTGTAAGACTTGGCTTTTTAACTCTTGGGGTCAGTTGTGTCATGTCTTTTTGGGGCACTGAGACTCGTGAGCCCCTTTTGGGTGTCCTGGAAGAACACTAGTGCTCAGGCATCCTGAGTTTGGCAGCACCCATGAGCTGCTCTGGGATGCAGGGAATGGGCAGAGCTCTCTTCTGCTCCCACTCCATCATAATGGGATAGGATGAGTTCCTCTGCCCTGTCAGTGCAGGACAGCTCAGGGCTCTCTGCATGGCCATACCCCATTGCTCCCACTTGATGTGCATTTCCTTTGGTGTTCCAGGTCTATCAGCTGGACACGGGGCATTACTTATGCAGGAATAAATACTACGGGCGTGGCCTTTCCATCGAAGGCTTCCGCAACGCGCTCTACCAGTATCTGCACAACGGCATCGAGCTGCGCAAGGACCTCTTTGAGCCTGTCCTGGCCAAGCTGCGCAGCCTGAAGGCGGTTCTGGAGAGACAGGCCTCCTACCGCTTCTACTCCAGCTCCCTGCTCATCATCTACGACGGCAAGGACAGCCGCGCGGGGACCCCGCTGGAGCGCCGGCCCGAGGCGCGCCTGAAGCGCGGGGAGGGCCCGGGCCCCGAGAGCCTCCAGGAGGGCGGCAGCTCGGAGCCCGGCTCCTCGGCCCAGCCCAAGGTGGACGTGCGCATGATTGACTTTGCTCACAGCACCTTCAAGGGCTTCCGCGACGACCCCACCGTGCACGACGGACCCGACATGGGCTACGTGTTCGGGCTGGAGAGCCTCATCAACATCATGGAACAGATGCGGGAGGAAAACCAGTAGCTCTGGGCTGTGGCCTCTTATTCTTGTCCTGGTGGCAGGAGCAGACAAGACCACCCACTACCACAGGAAAAACACAGACAAATTTGGTTTTAAACAACTGTATCGCTCTGTTGTTTTTTAAATGTATTTGGATAGAAGAGCTGAGGTGAGGCAGGATGGAAGAACTGCTCGTGCTGCCTGGATGGTTCTGACCACACTTGCTCTGCCTTCTGCAGGAGGCTCTGTAGGTGTCTGCTGGGTGTCAGGTGTCCCGGTTCTTCGCTCGTCATATGTGCGTTCTGGAGGGAGGACCTGGACGTAGGGAAGAGAAAGTAGGAGAGCCCAGGGCTCTTGACAAGGCTGGAGCTCTGGTGTGAGGAGCCTTCTGTCTCAGGAGCTTCCCCTTTGAATTCCTCCTGAGTTGTTGGAAAGGGCACTTGCCTGACGGTTGGCAGCGTCTGTGAGGCCCCCGGTGAGCAGTCAGGTGCCAGTCCCTGTGTTTGGTGTCGCTGGCTCTGCCCTGGGTTTTGCCAATGGGGCTTTGCTTTTGATGCTGCCTTTTTCTGCTGTTTGGGCACTGTGAGTATCTACCCCAAACACAGAAATGAAATGACCAAATGCAGTCCCTGGCAGAGCTGTGGCCCAGAGAGAATGCCACACACGTGGAGCTGTGCTTCAGCCTGGGGTCTGCTTCCTCCCTGACAGCATGGCATGGCATGGGCAGGCACAGGGCTCTGCAGGAGTGACTCTGCCCTGGACCACTGACTTGAAAGCGCTCAGCTCGTGGGCTAGCAATAGTATCTGTAGCAGTTAACATGACCCCAGCTGCAGTGGGGCATTTTGGACCATTTCAACCCTCCCCTCCTGTAAAGTACAGAGTATGTCCCTCCAGCACAAAGCTGCCCTCTTCCCCCGGGGACCCTCTGCCCCCAGGCCCTGCTCTCCAACAGGCCTGGAGGTGGTGGAAGGGGAGGCTGAGGCTTAGGGCTGATCCCCATCCCCTCCCTGAGGGTCTCTAGAGGCCAGGTGAGGGGGTGACCCAGCTGAGCAGTGAGAGCCACTGTCTTGACTGTTCAGTACCACTGCCTGACTGTTCAGCTTTGCTTCATGGAGTCAGTGTCTCCCAAAATAAATGTCCCCAGCCTCCTTTGATGAGGAATTAACGTTTGATACTGTGGCCTGGTGGTACCGGACCGAACCCTGCTCCACCTCAGCTCCTGTTTCTGTGCTGGGGCCCTGGCTGCTCCCTCCCGCTCTCACTGACTTGCTCCATGGCATTACCATGACCCTGTGTACCCACAAGGCCAGGGTTGGGGTTTTTTTTAATTACTTCAGGGATGCTTGTTTGGGGAATACTCGCATGTCGCATGTGTGCCGACTCCGTGTGCGCAGAGGCCGCTCGGAAAGCACGGCTGCCACATCTCAGGCACAGGTCTGTGGCACTGGTGTGGAAGGGGACAGGAGAGCTGCCCCATTTCTCTGCCTGTCTCCCAGCTCCTCAAAGCCTGCCCAAGCCACTGCTCCCCTTCCATCCTCTGGAGAAGGACCTTTATCCATGGCACGCTGCCCTGCACTGGGTTACTTCATTGCTGCTGCGGGTCCCTACCTTGCCAGGACTCGCAGGATTTTCAGGGAGCAGGTTTGCAGGAGGCAGCGAGGCTGGGTGAGTGCAGGGGTGTAGGTACCCACAAGAGCTGCATTATTCCCTGGCCCTGCCCTAGCGTGGCCCGTCGCCACCCACCTCTGCATGTCCTTGTCCCCGCGGGCTGTGCTCGGGTGAGCCAGGCCGGGAGAGCCCCTTGCTGTCCCCCGCTCTCATTCCTGCCTTTCCCCGCCTCACCGGGCCGTGACGGGCGGGCCACGCTGCCGGTGCTCAGTGGGAGCCGCTTCCCTCCCTTCGGACCACCGCGGTGGGACTCCACAGCTTGTACATAGCCTTGGCCCCGTTTGTTTTTACATGAATAACCACCCTGTTTGTGCTTCACAGAGAACCAAAAACCATTAAAGGATCTGTTTTTGTCCGCGGCGTGCCGTGCCTGCCTCTCCCGCCGTGTGAACCGTGGGGTTTAGGGGGTTTGGATGAGCGCCCCCGCCCGGTGCGGC